CATGATCCCCAATAAAACTTGCATTACGTCTAAAAAAAAACCCAGCACTGTGCACAGTAGCTGAAATGTGAGCAATGAGCATCCTCTGGCAGATGAACAGATAAACAAAAATGATGTAGACATGCACAGAGCACTCATGCACCCTGAGCAAAGAAGGGACTACTGTCATATGCTCCAGCATGGATGCACGTGGCAGGGATGATGGCAAGTGGGATGAGCCACTCACCAAAAGACAAAGTCTGTATGATCCCACTCCTGTGAGGCAGTGAGAACAGAAAGGAGACTAGTGTTCGCCATGGGCCGAAAAGGGAGAAGAGAACACAGAATTCTTGTTGGAAGCACAGGATTTCAGTCTTGCAAGATGAAGAGAGGTATAGTGATGCATGCTGGTAATAATTATACATTATGAATGTATTAAATACGACTGAACACTGAAAATTATTCTAAGATGATCAATTTAACGTTGTTGCATTTTGTTTGTTCCTTTGAGACCAGGTCTCACTAAATAGGCTAGGCTGGCTTCGAGGTTCAAGTCTTCATAATCTGACTTGTTGAGTTGAAAACCCTTTGTATAACTACTTAAAAAAGTAATAAAGGTTCAGGCCTGTAATCCTAGCTACTCAGGAGGCTACAATCTAAGGATCACAGATCAAAGCCAGCCCGGGCAGCAAAGTCCGTGAGACTCTTATCTCTAATAAACCAACAAAAAACCGGAAGTGGAGCTGTGGCTCAAGTGGTAGAGCACTTGCCTTGAGCTGAAGAGCTGAGGGACAGCACCCAGGCCCAGAGTTTAAGCCCCACGACAAAAAAAAAAAAAAAAAAAGATCCCAAAGACAAAATGACAATATTTGTTGAGTTACATGCAGGCCTGGAGGCACAATTCAAGTGGTAGAGCTCAAGTATAAGTCCCTGTGTCCAAACCCCAGTACTGTTGGGGGAAAAAAAAAGAACAAAATAAAGGCATCTAGTGGTATAAAGGAACATCTCCAAGATACATAGCTAAATTAAAAGGCTCAAATGATTTAACACACTGTGGAATAAAAATACACTTGGAATAAAAATTTTAAACACAAAATATTTAGAAATGTTTAGTTTTGCTTATCTTCTCATGTAAACTCTGATTTGAAAAAGCTGAATGTGGTGGTACATGCATGTAATCCTACCACTTGGAAGGCTCATGAAGAACTAAGTGTGAAGCCGGCTGGGCTCTATAGTAAGTTTCAGGACAGTCTTGGCTACACAGTGAAGTTCTAGAATCAAAAAAAAAAAAAAAAAAAGTTCACTGGGTGCTGTGGCTCACACCTGTAATTCTAGCTACTGAGGAAGCTGAGATCTGAGGATTGAGGTTCGTAGCCAGCCTGGGGAAGAAAGCCTGTGAGACTCTTATCTCCAATTAACTACCAAAACCAGACATGGAGCTATGGCTCATAAGTTGTAGAGTGCTTGCCTTGAGCTAAAGAGCTCAGGGACAGCACCCAGGCCCTGAGCTGACCAAAATAACCCTAAAAGTTATAAATGATTATGTCTAAGGGAAGGAGTCACTGTGGGCAGGGAAAGCACAATAGCTTTTGTAGTGTAAACCATTTTATATTACTTTGATTTTCAAATCATGAATATATATATATATATGTATATATATATATATATATATATATATATATATATATACACATATATATTGTTGTTGTTGTTGTTGTTGTTAGTCATGGGGCTTGGACTCTGGGCCTGGGAGGTGTCTCTTAGCTCTTCAGCTCAAGGGTAGCACTCTGCCACTTGAGCCACAGCTCCACTTCGGGTTTTCTGAGTGGTTTATTCGAGATAAGAGTCCCACAGACTTTCCTGCCCAGGCTAGCTTTAAACTGCAATCCTCAGCTCTCAGCCTCCTGAGTAGCTAGGATTACAGGCGTGAGCCACCAGTGCCCGGCATGAATATATTATTCATGTAAACAAGAACAAATTATACAGAGAGGAAGATCTGTGATGAAGACAGCTGAACTCCATTTTTGTAGAAATTATCTTTCCTCAGCCTAGGCCCCACAGTGATGCTCCAGCTAAGGAGAAGTTTAATACAACATTTTCATAGTGGACCAACCCTCGAATTTCCCCGTGAGGACCCTTACCGCTTTCAAACATCAGAAAAGCCACTAAGCTTTATTGAAACTCAGAAGAGATTCTTTATCCACTCAAAGAGCGGCACTGGCTCTGCTGCTGGTAGAACACAGAGCGTTGTTTGCCTAAACCACAAGGCTTGCCACAAGGCTCCTGGGGCACCCTGGATTCCTTCAGCCAAGAGCACTGTCTCTTGTTGGGTATTTTCTCCGTGATGACTTTGGAGGTCACTGTCATTCCCCCACAGAAGATCCAGCTACCCTTGGTTTTTTAAAAAAAAACAAAAACGGAATCTGCTGGGGGTGACCCAGGAAAGACAGGAGCTTCCCCTCCAGGCCTAGAGCTGCGGTTGCGGTCTTGTGCAACAGACACGATGCAGACGCATGACATGGTGGACTGAGAATGTGGGGGGATTCAGAGCCAGACCAAGAAAATGTGTGTGTGCAGACGGCTGGCTCTCTTGGCTCGCCAGGATCTGAGAGAGAGAGAGAGAGAACGGGAGACCACTTATCTGCCTCCCACTCTTCCTAGCCTCATTCCAGGCCTAAACAACAGACCAGGATGTCTCCAACTGAGTCAAAAAATACAATTTAAAAAAACGGTAACCTGGGACACACCACCACATAGAAAGGATGTGACGAAACCCAAACCCAGAACAATACTGATGCCCTGAATTGGGGTTAGGGAATGCAAGTGGCGATTTCTGTGGGATCCTCTGTGTTCATGTATAAAATTTTAAAAAAGTGAGTTAATTAATAACCAAATAAATAGATTAAAGCTCCCTTGATGAGGGAATCAAGAAAAACAAAGAGTCCCAGACTGGAATGTGTGCCCTTCTCCACTGCAGCCTCATTTGCTGGCTGGCTGAACCTTGTGTTGGTTTCCTCATCTGAACATGTGATCACTAACTTGCCCATCCAGCCTCTCAGAGGTTAAAGGCATAAGAGCCTGAAAAGAACACAGGTGTCACTAAGAAGGTACAAAGGCACTTGAAGTACCCTTTAAAGCTTGTTTGGTATTTTTTGGTTTAAATCAGAAAAGGTTAAGTATAATCAAGTTTGTTGTTTTGGTTTTTTTTGGTCTGTTGTGGGGCTTGAACTCTGGGCTTGGGCACTGTCTCTGAGCTCTTCAGCTCAAGGTGAGCGCTCTACCTCTTGAGCCATAGCACCCACTTCCGGTTTTCTAGTAGTTTATTGGAGATCAGAGTCTCATGGTCTTTTCTGCCCAGGCTGGCTTTGAACCGTGATCCTCAGATCTCAGCCTCCTGAGTAGCTAGGACTACAGGCGTGAGCCACAGGCGCCCAGCTTATAATCAGGTTTAACCTTGTAGCAAGTTAGGTTGGGTTTGCTGAGTCAGCTCGAGGCTTTCATTCTGTAGTAGAATAGGCTTCTTTTCCATCTGCCCAAGATTTACTCCCTACAAATTCTTTTTGTTGTTGGTTTTTTTGGGGGGTCCGGTCGTGGGACCTGAACTCTGGGCCTGGGCACTATCCCTCAGCTCTTCAGCTCAAGGCTAGCACTCTACCACTTGAGCCACAGTGCCATTTCCAGCTTTTTTTATCTGCTTATGTGGTGCTGAGGAATTGAACCCAGGGCCTCATGCATGCCAGTGCTCTACCACTGAGCCACCTTCCCAGCCTTTGTTGTCGTTGTTGATCATGGGGTTTGAACTCTGGGCCCGCGTGCTGTCCCTCAGCTCTTCAGCTCAAGGCTAGCACTCTACCACTTAAGCCACTGAGCCACTTCTGGTTTTCTGGTGGTTTACTGGAGATAAGAGTCTTAGGGGCCGGCCGCTGGTGGCTCACGCCTGTAATCCTAGCTACTCAGGAGGCTGAGATCTGAGGATCACAGTTCAAAGCCAGCCCGGGCAGGAGAGACTGTGAAACTCCTATCTCCAATAAACCACCAGAAAACCGGAAGTGGCACTGTAGCTCAAGTGGTAGAGCGCTCGCCTTGAGCTGAAGAGCTGAGGGACAGCACCCAGGCCCAGAGTTCAAGCCCCACGGCCGACAAAAAAAAAAAAAAAAAGAGTCTCACGGACTTTGCTGCCCAGGCTGGCTTTGAACCTCCATCCTCAGATCTCAGCTTCCTGAGTAGTTAGGATTGCAAGCGTGATCCACCGCTGCCCCACCCTACAAATTCTTGAGAAAACAATTTTCAGTCACTGTTGGCCTACTGTTTTATATGGTGTTAACCCCCTCCCTTCTCCAAGGGTAGACATGTGACTCAGGTCTGACCAATCAGAGAATCACTCCCTTGTAACTACTCCATGAACTCAAATCAACCAATCAGATGGGACAGTAAGTTCAGTTCTAGGCTTTGGCTAGAACATCTGATAATTGTCGTTTGGTCTCTAGAAGCCATCTTACTCCCACAGAAGAAAGCCTGCCTGAAAATGATGCCAACAGGGAAGAAAACAGAGCTGAGAGGAGGGGAGAGGAAATGAAGGATATATTTTGTTGGTGATATGTTTGATCCTAATGCCAGCTCCCTCCTGGGTCATGCAGTCAAATACCTACCCTTTCTTACCATCCACAAAGTTGGACTTCTAAGGGTCTTGACTGACATACAATTCTGAGACAGACTGAGAATCCCTACAAAGATCAGCCAGTGGGCACAATCCTCACTACTCAGGACATAAATAATGTACAATGAGCCCAGGTAAAAGCAGAAGGCCTTATCTGAAAAGTAAACTAAAGCCAAAGGACTGAGGTGTGGCTCAGGTGGTAGAGTGCTTGCCTTGCATGCAGGAGACTCTGGGTTCCATCCCTAGTATTAAAAATAAACAAAACCCCATAGGTGTAACCCATCCCTTTATAAAGTGCACAAGGGTGCAGAATCGTCAACACTTCATAGTAGTACCCAGGCGATATAAAAGAGACACAAATTACTAACATAAAGAAATATTTCACTTTATTTTACTCTTTCAGTCACGGGGTCCAAGGAAATGCAAGTTCACAGAAATGAAAAATAATACCAAAAATGTGGATAAGACCAACTTTAGAAGGTGCACAAAATCAGCAGGATATGATTGTCTGGAGTCAGGTTTTGGCCTTCTCAGTTTGCCCAAGACTGGTATAACCATTTGGTTTAGCCCATGTTAACAATTTCTGTGGTAACTGTCCAGAAGAGACTTGTCATAGAATCATGAAGCCCACACAATTGAACTGTTTACAGTACACAAAGCAAAACGGTCAACATTACTAGGTGGCACAATTTGTTTACATTCAAACAACTAGTAAACAAGAGCGAGGCAACCCCCCAGTATACAGCATCCAGACATCTCTAGTCAGTCCTTCGTGTGAACACGGCACACATGCGCTCAGGAAGCATCTGTGGTGTTCCAGGAAGCGCTGTACTGAGTGCTGCAGTCACTAAGCTAACGGGTATGCTCAGCCCCCAGTGAGTTCCCAGTCTCATCGCGAGAGCTGTGAACATCAACAGTACAGTCTTACTGGCTGATCACACACACACACACGCAAGTCCACTCTGAGATCCCTTCTACCAGAGGGTCCATGGAGAAGATAAGCAAAGTCCTCTTCCTTTACCAACTAGTTAGGTGGTCACTTTCCTCTTCCAATATCCCAATGGGGATTCTTCCCTCCCCTCCAGCTTTGTGACAAGTGACAATGGACTCAGAAATGACAGTGAACATCCCAACCACTGTATTCTTTCAGGGGAATCCAGAGATGGGGCAGTACTCTCCAGTCTCAACCTTCCCTCATTTAACAATGCTTTAGTGAGGTGCCATCACCTGCTCACCACTGCCAGGGTGCCCACGTGGCTAGACCTGGGTTTGAAGCCCAGGAGTCTTTGAAAGACGGAGGACCTTCCTTGCCCATATTCCAAGGACCACTTGAGCTTACAAAAGGGCTTGCTTGTTCACTTGTCACTTGGTGACTTGGGTGAAACAGTGAAAGCCATCGCTCCTGTCTGACACCAAGAGCCTGACTCACATGTCCCCTGGTTTAGAAGAACATCCAGCCATGGCCATTCAAAGGAGGAACAAATGCCCAGCACAGCACCGGCACCTGGAAGTTCCAACTGCCCCTCTCCTTTCTCCCTGTATTCTCTTGGGCAGCACATAGAGTCAGACTATAGATCCCATTATGCCAGTGACCACCAAAGGGAAGGGGTCCTAATTTCCAATCTGCCTTGCACAAGCCAGGCTCCCTAGGGGTACATCCACTAGGACCAGCAATGTCCAGCAGGGGGAGAGGCTGCAGGCCTCTGGGCAGGAGGTTAAGGCTGAAGCCTCCAGAGCCCTTTAAGAGTTGTTCCCACCTTGTGATAGACATACTTGGCTTAGTTTGATTTTCTTTAAATAAAAACCAGAATATCTTTGTGTTTATCAACGACATCCTTAAGATCATGACATATTCAATGTTACAAATGCTCTCATGATTTTAAAAAGAAAAAAAAAGAGTCCATCTAACAAAGGAATTTTAAAACCAATATTCCTGATTTCACTTTTTCCCCCCATAAATATACTAAACTTAAATTCTCAAGTTAGTGTATTTGCACAGATCGTTCACACCCAAAGATGAAACACAGAATCTGTAACACCATAGGTTTTCTATGAATCTGTTAGTATAAAAACAAGTATCTTAGAAAAATATAAAAACATCGCTACCATGTTATAAATGCTCTACATTTTCTAGGGGAACATACCTTTGCAAATAGTACAACTATTAGGAATTGTTAATGACATTCAAGTTCCGGATGTGCCACAGACGCATGCCGATCAGGACATCAAAACCCTGTGGTCCTCTAGATCACTTCTAGAAACTTCTAGATACATTCTCCTTTCTTCAAATATCACCATTGATTTCTGTGGATATCCTGAGGGTGACACTCTTGAGGAGGAAGAAAGAGAAAGATGAAAGGAAGTGAAACAACTTCATCCCGGCTGACATTTCCAGCAACTCTGCCCCACCCCAGAGGGGACTTCTCACTGAAGTTTTTCACTAAAGCTAAATTGGGTCCTGAAGAATTTTCTAGGCTTTCTCTATCCTGTTAGCTAATAAGTCACTTGTTCGGAAATATCACTTTCCTTGTGGCCAAGCTGTCTATAAAGTCCAGCTTCTCTCTGCCTTGGTAATAATGGTAAAAAGGCATTTTTCATCAGCCAACTTTTTTTGGTTGGTCATGGGACTTGAACTCAGGGACTGGGTGTTGTCTCTGTGCTTTTCCGCTCAAGGCTAGTGCTCTATCACTTTAAGCCACAGCGCCACTTCTGGTTTTCTGGTGGTTAATTGGAGCTAAGAGTCTCACAGACTTTCCTGCCTGGGCTGGCTTTGAACCCTGATCCTCAGATCTCAGCCTCCTGAGTAGCTAGGATTACAGGCGTGAGCCACCAGTGGCTCATCAACCAACTTTTTACAAAGCTGTGTTTTCTGGTTTTTGAAATTCACTTGAAAAGAACTAGGATGCCAGACTTTGAGCAACAAATGGTAACAGATGCATGGAAGCTTCATTGTCTGGGTGAACTATGAGGGTTGCTTTCCTCTATGAATAATACATTGAATAATACCTTTCTTATTTTTTTTTGTCAGTTATGGGAATTGAACTCTGGGCCTGGGCACTATCCCTCAGCTCTTCAGCTCAAGGCAAGCACTCTACCACTTCAGTCACAGCACCACTTCTGGTTTTCTGGTGGTTTATTGTAGATAAGAGTCTCGTGGACTTTCCTGCCTGGGCTGGCTTTGAACCAGGATCCTCAGATCTCAGCCTCCTGAGTAGCTAGGATTACAGGCATGAGCCACCAGCACCCGGCTTACATTTATTTCCTCAGACATGTGAAGAGTCAAAAGAAAGTGCTCCCTAACACAGGCAACAGACTTTCTATGAGTGTTTATTAACTCTAATTGTTAGCAATTTATATACCAATTGAACTAACCAGTACCTACCTGGAAATCTTGGATGAACGTTAGGAAGTAGAAAATAAAACCAAAGGCCACCGTCCACTCACAGATTGCACTCACCACATGATATACATAATCCTAACAGCGGCAATAAAGAAAACAGAATTTAGCCTTTAAAAAAAAAACTCTCATGGAGAACCTGAAATAATAAGTAAGGCAGTTAGGAGAGAAGAAAAACAATTGTCTCGTGAGCATACACCAGAACGTTGAGGAAATATCATAAGCAGAGCTATGTAGATAAACATCAGCTACCTGGCGTTCCGTTCCGGACGGCATCAGCAATGCGATTATCCCCAAATTTCTTTCTAGCTCCTGCACACACTGCTTTTAAGGATTGTCTACAGAACTTCAAAGGGCAGCATGAGGACCACAAAATAGCTGAGACAGGGAAGTAAATGTGGATTCAACTAAAGGAAAAACTTGGCATACAAACCACAACCCGGTCTCCTACCACTAGGAATCCCAGAGTTGAAGGGCTCGCTTACCAAGAAGCTAGTGGGTGCTCCAGGGGTTTACCCCAAAGAAAGGTGTGTGTGTGTGTGTGTGTGTGTGTGTGCACATGCATGCACAGACAAGGCTAGCTGACCACCCTGTTGGGTTGTATATGTTTCCCTGTTACTATAGGAAATAGTAGTTCAGCAAAGTTTGGCTCAAGATTGTAAGATAAACAGAGCTGGGTGCCGGTGGCTCACGCCTGTAATCCTAGCTACTCAGGAGGCTGAGATCTGAGGATCGCAGCTCAAAGCCATCCGGAACAGTGGTTTATCTCCAATAAACCACTCAGAAAACCAGAAGTGGCACTGTGGCTCAAGTGGTAGAGCGCTCACCTTGAGCTGAAGAGCTGAGGGACAGCACTCAAGCCCAGAGTTCAAGCCCCATGACCAACCAAAAATAAATAAATAAATAAATGGATGCAATGCAAATGGCCAAGCGGGAGCCATCCTGTGACAGCTGAGGGGCAGCCCCCCCCCCGGGGCTGCTGTGCGTCTTATTGGGAGCAAGGAGGGAGAACCGAAGCCAAGAACTCGAGTGACTTGAGTCAGGGCTTCAAAACTTGGTTGCTTATGGAGACCAGGAAGTTCATTAAAAATCAATTGCAGAGTGCCGGTGGCTATAACCCTAGCTACTCAGGAGGCTGAGATCTGAGGATCACGGTTCAAAGCCAGCCCAGGCAGAAAAGTCTGTGAGACTCTTAATCTCCAATTAACCACCAAAAAACCCAGAAGTGGCGCTGTGGCTCAAGTGGTAGAGCATTAGCTTTGAGCTGAAGAGCTGAGGGGCAGTGCCCAGGCCCAGAGTTCAAGACCTCTGACCAACCAAAAAGAAATAAAAATCAATCAATAACCAAAACTAAGGACCAAAGATGTAGCTCAGTGAAAGAGCTCTTGACTGGTATGGTGTAACACCCTAGATTTGATTTTCCAGCTCTAGGAGGGAGGGGGAAGGGGGAAAGGGAGAAGGGAAGGAGAGAAGGTAAGGAGGAGAGAGAAGGGGATGGAGGGTGGGGAGATTAGAGAGAAGATTCTATTTTCTTTCGTTTTAAAAATGTATTCATTCACTGATTTACATATTTTGCTGGGGATAGAACCCAGGGCCTTGTGCATGCTCGGCAAGCACTCTGCTACGGTACAAGGCTCCATGATGCTTACTCCAGTTTTGAAAATGGGGAAATATTAATCCAATGCTGCCTCAAAATCGGGCATGCCTGCATGTGCATGTGTGTGCGAGTGTGTGAGTGTGCGTGCATGTGTGCGTGCGTGTGTGTGTGTGTGTGTGTGTGTACAGGGAGGTATCTGTGATCTTATATTTTTCTTTCTCTTTTTTTTAATGGTTCTGATCTTTGCACTTGCTGGGCAAATGCTCTATACCTAAACCATGTCTCTGCCCAAGTCTCAAATGTACACCTACCTACATTCAAAGTGGCAAATTAGGTCTGTGGACTCAATTTGTCCCCTGCGTTTTCAAATAGTGGCTTGATTTTTTTTCCCCCTGTTCCCTTTCAACTGTGCTATGCATTACAGGGGTAAGAAGGGTTAAGTAAACGAGGGTGCAGCCCTGCAGGTCA